TTCTATATTATGAATATGCATGTTGTTTGTTTTCATCAAATCACATTAAAATTTTAGAAAGAAATTCCACGAATTTTTGGATCAACCCTCGTATGTCACCAGATTTTCTAAGAATCAATGCATTTTCACTTATCAATAGAGCCCACCCTAACACCAAAACCCCAGCCCCAGGGACACTGAAATTCACAAATTTGGAAGAGGCATCCTTCCTTATCATAACTACATGTATGTACACAGTTCATTGGTTTAGTACCCAGGAGCAGAGGAGAAGATTTTTGAAGAATTAATGCATTTTTACTCTATAATCATTAGAGCCCTGTCAAAACAACAAAACCCCTGACCCAGGGGCCATGGAATTCACAATTTAGGAAGAGACACCCTTCCTCATCATAACTATTGACATAGTTCTTTGGCTTAATACCCAGGACCAGAGGAGAATAATTTTAAAGAAGTAATAGATTTTCACTATGTAATGAAAATCCTTGTCCTAGCACTAGAACCTCTGACCCTTGGACCATGAATTTCACAATTTAGGTAGAGGACTCAATTCTTATTACAATTATGTCAACGCTTTGACTGCTTGATGTCCAAGGGTAAAAAAGATTTTAAAAAAATTGCATTAATTTTAGGCCCCACCCTTCAGGCCCCCGGGAGGGGGGGGGGGCTGTTTCAGAACACACAAAGACGACAAAAACAGATAGCAAAAGGTCCCCTGAGTGACTCAGTTGACCTAAAAAATTGAGGGAAACATTGAAAAATCTTAATTTCAAGAACCACTACATCAGAAAAAATGAAACTTGAAGTTTTTTGACATGTTCTAGATTTAAATTTGTTCGAATAATGATTTCCAGTGGTAGGGTAGGGCCACTCTGGGAAATTAAAGTTTAACTAAGTTTATATAAAAAAAGAAATTAAAGCAATAATGTAAGTTCATTTTTGTCAAAATGAGAGGAAAGCATCTTCCAGTAGTGTAGATTCAAGTTTAATAAAAAAAAACAAACATGATTCACAGAAGTAGACTAGTGCCGCAAAGGGAAATCATAGTTTTCTATAGGGATATGCAGAAAAAATATAACTTTAAAGAACAAGAGAGGCCATAATTACTCAGGTGAACATAGTGGCTTATGGATTTTTTTCCCCTACATGTATAAACTGATTTTTAAATATGTCTTACTTATTGTAATGTGTTGCTGCCATCAGATCTCTTGACTTATGTCAAAGATATTTCCTCACAATTATTGCATTAAAGTTCACTGTCTATATATATATATATATATATATATATATATATATATATATATATATATATATATATATATATATATATATATGTATAAAATTAAGTCCCACTTATGCAAAAGAGGCTACAATGCCCGCACCGTAAAAACAGCTATTGATGAGATGGTGGAACATGACAGGCAAAACCTATTACGCTACAAGGAAAAAGACAATAGCGACAGGGTCCCTCTGGTAACCACATACCATCCCGTCCTTAAGAACCTTAGCGGTATCCTTCAAAAGAACCTACCAATTCTCCATTCAAACAAACGAATGGCAGAGGTCTTTAAGGAACCCCCATTGGCTGCATACAGACGCCCAAGGAATCTAAAGGACATGGTAGTAAGAACCAGACTGGACAACCCATTACCTAACGGGGGCTTTAAAACTTGCTCTGACAGGAGATGTCTTCTTTGTAAGCACAGCACTGGCACAGACAGTTTTAACAGCCCTGTTACAGGCCGCAGCTACAAAATACTAGGGAATTTGTCCTGTCATACTGACAACTGCATTTATCTCATCAGTTGCAAAGTTTGCTCCAAACAGTATATTGGTGAAACAGGAGATCTCCGTAGGAGAGTCAATAACCACCGTTCGACCATTAGGACCAAAAAACTCAATGAACCCGTTGGGGAACATTTCAACCTTGAGGGTCACAAATGGGAGGACATGACAGTAGTGGTGATTGACCATAACCCAAGATGGACAGATGCTCAGAGGAAAAGCAAAGAAAAGTTCTGGATGCACAGATTGAAGTCATTCCGCCCAAATGGTATTAACAAATTGAATGACTTCACCAGAATGAACGTAAATTAGACCGAATTCCTGATCATACTAAACAAAATTATTCTCTCAATTTAGTGTAAACTCTACAGTTAATTTGCGCCACCAACTCTCGAACAACCACATAACTATGTATTGCCTACGCCTTTGTTAATTATTTTTTCCCGATAATAAGTCCTTAAATATTTCAAAATTTATAATTGATCACAATTCATATGTTTAAATATCCCTACTATATGATTTTTCTTTCATTATTCTTTATTAAGTAAAGTTACGCCATTTTGAGAGAATGAAACGATGTACGATTTACTGATTGTCGTAATTAATTAGCATAATTACTTCGTTCAATTATGTAAATCGCACTTCACCCGAGTATACCCGATAGACCGGACGCATTTCATAGCGGTCCGGATTTCTTTCTTTATTAGTGTTCTTAAAAATTTCCAATTCAACATGTAATTAAGTATGTAAATATCTAGTGTTTAGTAGTTTAGTAGTAGTGCTAGTTGTTTTTGTTTCTCTTTTTCCTTTGTTCTTATGACTTTTTAACTTTTTTCTTTGTCCTGAGGAAGGGACAGGGCGTCCCGAAAATTTGACAATTTTTATTGTTCGTGTCGTTGGTCATTTTTAGTGCTTTATATAAATTTCCATCCGTGACCTTGTATCTACTTGGTAGATCCGACATTTTGGATATACAGTGTTGTTGGTTTTTTTAGTGCTTTATATATATATATATATATATATATATATATATATATATATATATATATATATAAATATATATAGTTTTAAACTTGGTCAATTGTCTGGTCAAGTGCAAATTTATGAGCTTGTTGTTGGGTCTTTGTTTAATTGTCGGGTCTTTTTTTAGCTGTCGGGTCTTCGACCCAGCAATTTTAGACCCAACAATTAATCGTTGTTCTATTTACTTACAATTGGAAACATGTTTCAGTTGAAATATTTGTCTGTAACCTGAATTGTTGGTCCTAAATTTCCCGTGAAGTTCACATATTGCATCGTCCAATCAAAAGTCGCGTGACAATGGCGCGAAATTAGATACGGAATGAACCGAGCTTCGCCGAAGTTAAAACCGGAAGGACCCAAGAAGTGGTTGCAATCACGATGCAGAGGTATTTATACATTTGTACATTTACACTGCTTTAAAGAGGTCCATTGGAATTAATTTGTGTAATGTATACATAAGCACTGTCAACGATTGTTCAATATTTGAGAGATGCTTAAGCAGCGAAGATGATGCTTAAACCACTTTTGTCACATTGAAGTTCGAAATTCCTCTGCCAAAGTGAAGGGCCCATAACAAAAAAATAAAAAAAGTGGTACAGTAGCAATATTCAGGATTTTTTAACGTGTCAAAGTTATATTTTCTCTATCTAATATCGAGTGTAGTGCCTTTAAGAACCATCTTAACATCAAAATTCTTCATTTTGTGCACAGGCCGTTACTGGCGTTAGAATTGGAAAGTAAATCAACAACATTCTATCTCTTTTCCTTAGTCTGTTGGGAAATTTTATTGCAGCATGTTTTTCTAGATATAAACAGATAAATATAAAGTTATGAATAGCCGTATTGATCTTTTTGCAAATTTTTGTGTGAAACCTTCCCAGAATTCCTTTGCTACTAGAATTCCGTGCAGAATGGCAAATAAATAAATAACATAAAAGTTAAAACATAAACGGTTTTTGGTTTGTAGAAATATTAAAAGAAACATGAAAATACTCTAACATGACTTTCAGCAAAAATATTGCACTAGGGCTATAGATTCAACCAGATGCTTGTCTTTTTTCCACAAGCTCCTATGAGCTCGTGATGTTGTGTGATGTTAGATAGAATGTTCTATCGTTTAAATGATAAATGTCCTATGGACCCGGTTTAACGATAGAATGCATTCCGTGTATTCACAATGTAGCAAAATAAACACGGGCGATAACTCGTATTAGTGCATTTACTATGAACAATCAAGAGAGTTCCAAACGTAAACATGGAGTGTAAATTTGAAGTGAGAAAAAACGTTGAGAAAACAGGGTTTGACATTAAGGCACGTCCAACTGACTGAGTCTAGTAAAATTTGTGTCCGGTCGGGTAAAATCTCTGTGTACTAGACCGACTGGTCGTGAAGGAAAATTAATGAACTTCTTATATATTTTAAAACAATTCATTTACTGTCGATGAAAAAATAAAATTAAAACGTTCCCAACCGCATAGTAGAAATAAAACTAAATACGTTCCAGACAGCATGACTATAGCGCTATTTTTAACTACAGTTCATTGGCGGCATTTGTAACTACTCGGCCATTTTCCTAGAGAGAAACAATAAGCTATAGCATGATTATAACTGACAATCATTTGACAGGTCATACCGATAATGTAATGTAAGACAAATTTAGACTGGTTACGCGATTAACTGGGGTACGACAGAAGAAATAGCAAGTAAACATTGTGAATCGAAAGAAAATTCACACATGCTCTTTGGGCATGTAATTTGAGAATGTTCACATGCCTGCTTGCAAATTTACCAGGTCCCGTCCATCAGACACCCAGGTTATGTCGAAGACTGCAAGTGTCTTTCTGATACAGATGTGCTGGCCCCAACAGTCACACAACTTCAACTTTTTTTACCTTGCCCTTTCCTTTGATCTAGACCTCTCTTTTCTGAGTAAGTTTTTAGCTCAGGTTTCAATATTAAATCATTCAAGATATTTTTTATCAAGCATGATATGCTGATATGATTAGTGAGCGCCAGTTCATTGCATTTCAGGACCTTGACCTTTGACGCTTTACCTCAAAATAAGTAGGGATCTTTCATAGACCATACTAGGGAATTGTGGTATAAAACATCATTGCAAAAGCTCAAAGGCCTCTTGAGATATTACAGGGAAATGAGAGTGTTATATTAGTATTTTGAATTTATGACTTTGACCTTTGACATTTTGACCTCAAAATCATTTAAGTATCTTCCTTAGTCCATATGGAGTTGTGTAGATTTTCATTGCAAGAGCTCAAAGGCTTCTCAAGATATCTCATGGAAACAAAAGTGTTAGAGACAGAAATACAGACAGACTGACAGACCAAAATAATATCACCAAATTTCAGTGGAGGACAGCTAATTTATCTCATATGACTTACACATTTGCCAGTATAATCAATTAATCAGTATATAACTCAGTGTAACTGAGTGTGTATGTGCAAGTTTTCTTTTTTAGGATGGATGCCTCAGAAGATGATGGCTCCATGGCAAGACTTATAAATGATGAAAATATAAATCCAAATGTTAATATAAAGGTGATTCATGAGGAGTTTGCAGATCCCCATCTCTGCATTTTTGCTGTTAATGACATCAAAGATGGTGAAGAAATCAGATACACTATGGAAAGAATGTTGATTTTTCTTGGTGAAAAAAGGTAAATAAAATTTCAAATCATAACCCCCGGGAGTAGGGCAGGGGCCACAATGGCCGACCAAAGTTTTACATAGAAATATATAGGAAAATTCTTTAAAAATCTTCTCAAGAATAGCAAAGCCATAATTGATCATATTTATATATGGAAGCATCCTCAGCCTCAGGTTTAGATTCAAGTTTGTACAAATTATGACCCTCGGGGGTAGGGCAGGACCACAATGGCCAATCAAAGTTTTAAATAAAAATATATAGAAATATTCTTTAAAAATCTTCTTAAGAATAGCAAAGCCATGATTGATCATATTTATATATGGAAGCATCCTCAGGTGGTGTAGATTCAAGTTTGTTCATATCATGACCCCACGGCAGTGGGGGGGGGGGGGGAGAATGGCCGATCAAAGTGTTACATAGAAATATATCGGAAAATTCTTTTAAAATGTTCTGATGAAGAATAGCAAAGGCATGAATGATAATATTTTTATGGAAGCATCCTCAGGTAGTGGATATTCAATTTTGTTCAAATCATGACCCCTGGGTGTAGGGCGGGGTCACAACATGGAATCAAAGTTTTACATAGAAATATGTAGAAAAAGTCTTAAAATACTTCTTTTCAAGAATAGCATAGCCATGATTAGTCCTGTTCATATGGAAGCATTCTCAGGTAGTGTAGATTCAATTTTGTTCGAGTCATGACCCCTGGGTGTAGGGCGGGGCCACGATGTTAGTTCAAATGTAAAGGACAATAAAGCCAAAGCTGAAAAGTAAACTGATTTCTGCTTTTTTTTAGGTGAGCGATGTGGCCCATGGGCCTCTTGTTGTTTAAATGATTTCCAGGTAAAAAATGCTTCTAAATACCCTTATGTAATGTTTTGGTATGAAAAGATCTTAGACTAGCAGCATATAGTCATGATATTATGCTGAAAATTCCAGAAAATATGAATCCGTGTCCATGAAAGCCCTTTTAATTTTGACAAGTGGAAAGAGAGGAATATTATTGATCTCGTTAGGATATGCAAAAAATTGATTCCATTCATTATTCACCTTATTCAGTTTTGTACATTAAGTTGTGAGGGTCTTGTATAATTGCATTAAGTTGTTAAATTGTATGGTCTTGTATAATTTGTATAATTGTAATAAGTTGTTAAGTTGTATGGTCTTGTATAATTGTTTTAAGTTGTGGGGTCTTGTATATAAAATTGTGGGGTCTTGTATATAAAGTTATGGGTCTTGTATAATTGTATTAAGTTGTTAAATTGTGGGGTCTTGTTTTTAAAATTGTGGGGTCTTGTATATGATATTGTGGGGTCTTGTATATAAAGTTATGGGTCTTGTATAATTGTATTAAGTTGTTTAGTTGTGGGGTCTTGTACATTAACATGATAAAGTTGTGGGTCTTGTATAATTGTTTTAAATTGTTAAGTTGTGGGATCTTGTATATAAAGTGGTGGGGTATTGTATATTAAGTTGTGGGTCTTGTATAATAGTATCAAGTTGTTAAGTTGTATGGTCTTGTATAATTGTATTAAGTTGTGGGGTCTTGTATATAAAATTGTGGGGTCTTGTATATAAAGTTGTGGGTCTTGTATAATTGTATAAGTTGTTAAGTTGTGGGGTGTTGTATATAAAATTATGGGATCTTGTATATATTAAGTTGTTCGTCTTTTTTAATTGTATGAAATTGTTAAGTTGTGAGGTCTTCTAAATTGTGAGGTCTTGTATAATTACGTTGTGGGATACGTCTTGTATATTAAGTTGTGAGAACTTCTATGAAGTTGTGGGGTCTTGTAGAACTGTATTAAGCTGTTAAGTTGTGGGGTCTTATATATTTAATTGTGAGGTCTAGAGTCATGTGACTTTTTTACCCAATGAGATTTCAAACTTTTCAAACAAATGGAGGGCCTCAAACAGAAGTCTGTTTGGTTTGTTTTAACTAAAAAATATTGTGTATTTGATGAAATTAATGCCTTCTGTTTCCAGAGAAGGATTGAATATGGACCAATTTATGATGAATACATGTATAATGGGGTTTTTAGAATATATGTTTTCTGTTTCAAAGAAGCTATGCAAATCATTGAGTTTTTAAGAAGAAGAAACTTGGATGCAGTTTTTGAACATTTTGTCCAATAATTAAATTGCCATGACATAATTGATTTATAGGAAGGTAGGTGAGTTAAAATTTCATACTCATTTTATTTTACCGCTAATGTCAGTTGTCTAGTGTATAATGATCATACCAGATTATTTCAAAGAAGATAATTTAACATTTAATTCTTTGTACATGATCTTGGTATTTGTGACAGGTAAACTGGTCTTTAAATGTATTGATGTAATCTTTGCATTTCTAAGCTCTTTTAGTGAAATTTATCGGCCAATACAGATGGTGTACATGTCTTGTATATTAACTGTTGAAATGTTGGTTTAGTTTGTTATTGACTCTCAAAAATGAAAAATGTCTGAAAACTTGAACTTTTGGAAGAACAGAGTGATGTTTTAAAACATAGTATTGCATTTTTACTTGATAACTGTCCTTCTCTTGTCCAGTTCCTTGGCATATGCAGGTGTAATTTTAAAAAAATCATTAAGTAATGAAGAAATCCCTAATACAGGTGACTTTCGATCTCTCAAAGTGAACCTCCGGTACCGTTTTGAAAGAAAATTCAAAAAGCAGTGACCAATACAATTTATTGCCAAGTTTAATTTATTTATTAGCTATTTATCTTTTATGTTATCTTGTAATCATCTGTAGCATTATTTATGAACAATTCAGAAATCACATCATTACTGTTGATTCTTTAGTTTACATGGGTACTTAATATTGTGAAATGGCACTTGGATGCCAAACTGCGAGATGAAAATTTGCAAGTATGTGGTTGATCTAAAGTGTTCACATGGATTTTAAGGAAGGAATTTAATTTAGCAAGTAGAAGTTCTTAGGAAATTACATTGCATAGTATGTTTTCTCAAGAAATAAGTCAATGATCATTTATCTAAAACCTAAAGAAACTTTCAATACATTTGCATTTTTATGGTCAATGAAATAATTTTTAAAGGGTTGTTCTATTCAAATTTGAACTTTTATAAATTTGATAATGTATGGCGAAGTTTTCGTCAGATTTTAGAAACTTAATGTTTTAAACAATGGTAAGAAATTTAAAATGTAGAATATAAATAAATGTCTATTAATTAAAAATTTATTGATACTTAAGTGTATCTTAGAAAAAAAAAACTTGCTCTGGTCTTGGTGGTGCAACCAAGAATTATAATGTATCAATACTTTTGCCATATACATGTAACTTAATATTGTCAATTGCTATGTTTTTAAATTGGCACAATATTGTTGTTAAAGTCTACTATAACAAGTATGATAGTTCATGTAAAGTGCACTTGTCTGTTAAGTGTGAAATAGTGTACAAATGATAATTAATTACAATATGAATAGTTAAACTGTTCTTAGTAGATGTCCTAAGAAACTAATCCAACCTTTTAGTTTTCTGACAAAAATAAATGATTCCATTTATATTGTAGAAAATATATGATGATTGACAACACACAGGGTGAGCAGTCTGTTCTGAATGAGGAAAAGCTGAGATGCATATCAAAATGCAATAGTGTCAATCCTGAGTTGTCCACAGAGAGAACCAGTGTTGTTTCACAGACAACTAATGAACAACTTTGTGAGGACTCCAGCAATGGTAATGTATTTGATACATTGATATGATTCACTGTATTGTTTATCTGTTAGTCCATGAGGCCATTATTTTCAGAAAAAAATGTCCACATGTAAATGTAGAGCAATTGGTTTTGTCTAAAGTGTGACCAATATTATAGGGTTCATGTTCTTGACATGTTAAAAAAGTGTTGGTATATTTGATAATTGCAGGCCCTCTAATGTGGTTTAATGTATGTGACGCAATAATTCAGGTACATGATTTAGACTTTTTAGCTCTTCTGAGCCAAAGGCTCAAAGAGCTAATGCTATGGCCATTTCTGCAGTGTGCAGTGTGCGTTAACTTTTTAGAAAATGGGCCATAACTCAAGAACCCCTTGGCCAATCATTGTTAAATTTGTCACAGGGTATTCTTTGCCCAAGGGGTACCATTTATACTGAAACAAGGGTTAGGACCCTTAAATAAGGAGATTTAATCAGGAAAAACCCAAAAAATACTGGTTCCTAAAACTCTTTTTCTCCAGAACCACCAGGCAGATTTTCACCAAACTTACGCATTGTTTTTCTACTAGTCCATTAGGCCATTATTTTCAGAAAAAAAATGTCCACATGTAGATCTATGTAGAGCAATTGGTTTTGTCTAAAGGGTGACCCATATTATAGGGTCCATGTTCTTGACATGTTAAAAAAGTAGTGGTATAGTTAAAAACTGTAGGCCCTATAATATGGTTTAATGTATGTGACCCAATGGTTCATGTACATGATTTAGAATTTTTTTTTAAATAGGAAAACTTCACTTCAAAGGAGGCTTTTGAAAGAATGTCTCATGAACCTGATTCTATATGCATGGTCAGGGTGTGTAGGAAAATAGAGAGACTTTTAAGTAATTGACAGTGTAACTGTATCTAAGATATGATTAATAATTGTAGAAACGATAACTGGTGAATATGGTGAAACTGGGGGTGAGCAGTCTGTTATGAATGAGGGAGAGCTAAGATGCATATTAAAATGCAGTAGTGTCAATCCTGAGTTGTCCACAGAGAGAAACAGTGTTGTTTCACAGACAACTAATGAACAACTTTGTGAGGACTCCAGCAATGGTAATGTATTTGATACATTGATATGATTCACTGTATTTTTTATCTGTTAGTCCATGAGGCCATTATTTTCAGAAAAAAATGTCCACATGTAAACGTAGAGTAATTGGTTTTGTCTAAAGTGTGAGCCATATTATAGGATCCATGTTCTTGACATGTTAAAAAAGTATTGGTATATTTGATAACTGCAGGCCCTATAATGTAGTTTAATGTAAGTGACCCAATAATTCAGGTACATGATTTAAACTTTTTAGTTCTTCTGAGCCAAAGGCTCAAAGAGCCAATGCTATGGCCATTTCTGCAGTGTGCAGTGTGTGTAAACTTTTTAGAAAATGAGCCATAACTCAATAACCCCTTGGCCAATCATTGTTAAATTTGTCACAGGGTATTCCTGGCCCAAGGGGTACCATTTATAATTAAGCAAGGGTTAGGACCCTTAAACAAAGAGATATAATCAGGGAAAAAAAACCAAAATACTGGTTGCTAAAAAATCTTTTCCTCCGGAACCACCAGGCAGATTTTCACCAAACTTACGTATTGTTTTTCTACTAGTCCATTAGGCCATTATTTTCAGAAAAAAAAATGTCCACATATAGATCTATGTAGACTAGAGCAATTGGATTTGTCTAAAGGGTGACCCATATTATAGGGTCCATGTTCTTGACACGTTAAAAAAGTATTGGTATAGTTGATAAATGTAGGCCCTATAATGTGGTTTAATGTATGTGACCCAATAGTTCACGTACATGATTTAGACTATTTTTTATAAGAAAACTTCACTCCAAAGGAGGCTTTTAAAAGAATGTCTCATGAACGTGATTCTATATGCATGGTCAGGATGTGTAGGAAAGTAGAGAGACTTTAAGTAATTGCAGTGTAACTTTATCTAAGATATGATTACTTATTGTAGAAATGATAACTGGTGAATATGGTGAAACAGGGGGTGAGCAGTCTGTTATGAATGAGGGAAAGCTAAGATGCATATTAAAATGCAGTAGTGTCAATCCTGAGTTGTCCACAGAGAGAAACAGTGTTGTTTCACAGACAACTAATGAACAACTTTGTGAGGACTACAGCAATGGTACTATATTTGATACATTGATATGATTCACTGTATTGTTTATCGGTTAGTCCATGAGGCTATTATTTTTTTTTTAAAAATGTCCACATGTAGATGTAGAGCAATTGGTTGTCAATAGTGTGACCCATATTATAGGGTCCATGTTCTTGACATGTTAAGAAAGTGCTGGTATATTTGATAATTGCAGACCCTATAATGTGGTTTAATGTATGTGACCCAATAGTTCAGGTACATGATTTACACTTTTTTTATAGGAAAACTTCACTCCAAAGGAGGCTTTTAAAAGAATGTCTCATGAACCTGATTCTATATGCATGGTCAGGATGTGTAGGAAAGTAGAGAGACTTTAAGTAATTGCAGTGTAACTTTATTTAAGATATGATTACTTATTGTAGAAATGATAACTGGTGAATATGGTGAAACAGGGGGTGAGCAGTCTGTTATGAATGAGGGAAAGCTAAGATGCATATTAAAATGCAGTAGTGTCAATCCTGAGTTGTCCACAGAGAAAAACAGTGTTGTTTCACAGACAACTAATGAACAACTTTGTGAGGACTCCAGCAATGGTAATGTATTTGATACATTGATATGATTCACTGTATTGTTTATCTTTTAGTCCATGAGGCCCTTATTTTCAGAAAAAAAATGTCCACATGTAGATGTAGAGCAATTGGTTTTCTATAGTGTTACCCATATTATAGGGTCTATGTTCTTGACAAGTTGAAAATGTATTGGTATTTTTGATAATTGCAGGCCCTATAATGTGGTTTAATGTATGTGACCCAATAATTCAGGTACATGATTTAGACTTTCTAGCTCTTCTGAGCCAAAGGCTCATAGAGCTAATGCTGTGGCCATTTCTGCAGTGTGCGTAAACTTTTGAGAAAATGAGCAATAACTCAAAAACCCCTTGGCAAATCATTGTTAAAATGTCACAGGGTATTCTTGGCCCAAGGGCTACCATTAATACTAAAACAAGAGTTGGGACCCTTAAACAAGGAGAGATTATCAGAAAAAAACCCCAAAAATACTAGTTGCCAAAAAATCTTTTCCTCCAGAACCACCAGGCAGATTTTCACCAAACCTACTTATTGTTTTTTCTACTAGTCCATTATTTTCAGAAAAAATATGTCCACATGTAGATGGAGAGCATTTGGTTTTGTCTTAAGTGTGACCCATATTATAGGGTCCATGTTCTTGACATGTTAAAAAAGTAGTGGTATAGTTGATAAATGTAGGCCCTATAATGTGGTTTAATGTATGTGACCCAATAGTATAGGTACATGATTTAGACTTTTTTTATAGGAAAACTTCACTCCAAAGAAGGCTTTTAAAAGAATGTCTCATGAACCTGATTCTATATGCATGTTCAGGGTGTGTAGGAAAATAGAGAGACTTTAAGTAATTGCAGTGTAACTGTATCTAAGATATGATTACTTATTGCAGAAATGATAACTGGTGAATATGGTGAAACAGTGGGTGAGCAGTCTGTTATGAATGAGGGAGAGCTAAGATGCATATTAAAATGCAGTAGTGTCAATCCTGAGTTGTCCACAGAGAGAAACAGTGTTGTTTCACAGACAACTAATGAACAACTTTGTGAGGACTCCAGCAATGGTAATGTATTTGATACATTGATATGATTCACTGTATTGTTTATCTGTTAGTCCATGAGGCTATTATTTTCAAAAAAAAATGTCCACATGTAGATGTAGAGCAATTGGTTGTCAATAGTGTGACCCATATTATAGGGTCTATGTTCTTGACATGTTAAAAAAATGCTGGTATATTTGATAATTGCAGACCCTATAATGTGGTTTAATGTATGTGACCCAATAGTTCAGGTACATGATTTACACTTTTTTTATTGGAAAACTTCACTCCAAAGGAGGCTTTTAAAAGAATGTCTCATGAACGTGATTCTATATGTATGGTCAGGATGTGTAGGAAAATAGAGAGACTTTAAGTAATTGCAGTGTAACTGTATCTAAGATATGATTACTTATTGTAGAAATGATAACTGGTGAATATGGTGAAACAGGGGGTGAGCAGTCTGTTATGAATGAGGGAAAGCTAAGATGCATATTAAAATGCAGTAGTGTCAATCCTGAGTTGTCCACAGAGAAAAACAGTGTTGTTTCACAGACAACTAATGAACAACTTTGTGAGGACTCCAGCAATGGTAATGTATTTGATACATTGATATGTTTCACTGTATTGTTTATCTTTTAGTCCATGAGGCCCTTATTTTCAGAAAAAAAATGTCCACATGTAGATGTAGAGCAATTGGTTTTCTATAGCGTTACCCATATTATAGGGTCTATGTTCTTGACATGTTGAAAATGTATTGGTATTTTTGATAATTGCAGACCCTATTATGTGGTTTAATGTAAGTGACCCAAAAGTTCAGGTACATGATTAAGACTTTTTAGCTCTTGTGAGCCAAAGGCTCAAAGAGTTAATGCTATGGCCATTTCTGCAGTGTGCAGTGTGTGTAAACTTTTTAGAAAATGAGCCATAACTCAAGAACCCCTTGGCCAATCATTGTTAAAATGTCACAGGGTATTTTTGGCCCAAGGGCTACCATTAATACTAAAACAAGGGTTGGGACCCTTAAACAAGGAGAGATAATCAGAAAAAAAAAACCAAAAATACTAGTTGCTAAAAAATCTTTTCCTCCAGAACCACCAGGCAGATTTTCACCAAACCTACTTATTGTTTTTCTACTAGTCCATTATTTTCAGAAAAAAAATGTCCACATGTAGATGGAGAGCATTTGGTTTTGTCTTAAGTGTGACCCACATTATAGGGTCCATGTTCTTGACATGTTAAAAAAGTAGTGGTATAGTTGATAAATGTAGGCCCTATAATGTGGTTTAATGTATGTGACCCAATAGTTCACGTACATGATTTAGACTATTTTTTATAAGAAAACTTCACTCCAAAGGAGGCTTTTAAAAGAATGTCTCATGAACCTGATTCTATATGCATGGTCAGGGTGTGTAGGAAAATAGAGAGACTTCAAGTAATTGCAGTGTAACTGTATCTAAGATATGATTACTTATTGTAGAAATGATAACTGGTGAATATGGTGAAACAGGGGGTGAGCAGTCTGTTATGAATGAGGGAGAGCTAAGATGCATATTAAAATGCAGTAGTGTCAATCCTGAGTTGTCCACAGAGAGAAACAGTGTTGTTTCACAGACAACTAATGAACAACTTTGTGAGGACTCCAGCAATGGTAATGTATTTGATACATTGATATGATTCACTGTATTGTTTATCTGTTAGTCCATGAGGCTATTATTTTCAAAAAAAAAATGTCCACATGTAGATGTAGAGCAATTGGTTGTCAATAGTGTGACCCATATTATAGGGTCTATGTTCTTGACATGTTAAAAAAATGCTGGTATATTTGATAATTGCAGACCCTATAATGTGGTTTAATGTATGTGACCCAATAGTTCAGGTACATGATTTAGTTTAAGACTTTTTTTTATAGGAAAACTTCACTCCAAAGGAGGTTTTTTACAGAATGTCTCATCAACCTGATTATATATGCATGGTCAGTGTGTGCAGAAAAATAGAGAGACTTTAAGTAATTGGTAAAAGGCATGGTTATAGTTAATATAAGGTCACCGTGTTTAATCAATAGAAAAAAGACTCATTTTGATCCTGCTCCGTGACCCTTTTTTGTGGTTCTAAATCTTTAATAATTTTGATAAATATGAAGATATATTCCAATTTTCGAGCTCAAATTATTAGAATCTGTTCTTTAAATATATATACCAAATTTGATAATAACATGACGTTTAATATAAAGTTATGACAAAAGTCTACGAACTTTTTGAATGACCCTCGTATTATTCAAAATAATGCACATACAGGTGTGGCAAGTAATAAAATGAAGAAGAAAAAATAAGATATACATTTTAAGACTTTCATTGTAGAAAGAAATAGGCACTTAACCAAAATTGTGAAATTCATGGTCCATCGGGTTAAAAATACAGGATGCAGGTTTTATTGGCTAAGATGGTTAAGATTTTTTTGCATGGACCCTGGGGTCCACGCAGTAAATATATAATGTAGGTTAAACCAGATGCCATGGGCAAACGACAAGCTACGCATGCGCAAGAATGCTTGAGAGTTCAACCCTTAGGCAACTTGCCCGTAGAATGATTCACCTTATTCGAATTAGAATATGCAATTCATTGGCAAATGGCGCTTTTAAATCCGCATATCGTATTTATTTTAGTTATTCACTGGCGGATCTGATTTCTCTCTTATACATATACTTTTATATACAAACTAAACATTGATTCTGTAGCACAAGCATTTTAAAAAGTAGGAAGAACTTGCAGTATATAGATATATACATGTGGATTAACAACATGAATACAAATCGTTTAAACGACTAGTTCTAGCTTTCACCGGCATTAGTTTTGTGCCCCAAGGATCGCAAAATAATTTTAGTATTTCAGTAATTCAAATACCGTTTGATAGAGGTCTGTAGCAACGGTTTTAAGGTGAGGAGGGGGGTGCTCCGAAAAGAATCTGCGTACTACAGAGCTGTGCTACACGTGTACCATCAGATCTATTTTCCCAAGATAGATTTATTCCTTATAAATCCAGAACAGGTATTCAAGCCTCTGTGGGCTACAATTGTATCAAAATAGCCGATTTTTGAAACTGACAAAATTAAAGGCGGAGATAAAATTAAACAATTTTGCTTTGAGACTACAATCAGTCATAAGTAGGCAGATCATGTAGAAAATGTGAACAAATCTACATGAATACTTACCAAAGTCGGAACCTAGAAAATTTCTTAAATTGAATTTCGGTTAGAAACACATGCATGTGATCCACGTATTGTAGTCCTTTTTTAAAGGACAGCAACTTGTTTAATTTTCCATGTTCTATTTTAACCGGTCACGGTAGCCTAGTGGTAGGCATTCTGTTCGTGATCGAGAGGCCCAGGTTCGAATCTCGTTCACGGTGTCCTGTTATACCTAAGACGTAAGCATAGGTAGTGACTGTCCCTTGGCCAAGCGCTCAGCACTAGAAGTGAAAGTCACGGGTCTTTTGGATATGACCTTAAAAGTCCTGTGTCATGGTAGGCATTGGCACGTTAAAGAACCCTCACTGCTCAATGGCCCTGAGTGCCGAGTATAGGTCTAAATATGAAGCCCTTCACCGGCATATGGTGACCTCTCCATATTGATTGAAAATTTCTCTAGAGGGACATTAAATGAATATACAATCAATCCACTAAAGTTGGAACTTTTTCTTCAGTATGGTTTTGTTTGAAATTTGCTCCATCAGAAAAAAAAGTGTTGTAAAATGTAAAGGAATCGAAATAGATTAACAGCGTTGTACAAAAAAAAACACATGTTGTAATGAGAAGAAGATTCCTTTGTTTTGAAAGATCTTAATTTTTTTAGTGTGTGAGAAGTAGTCATACATGTATATATTATATAAACAAGATTTCTAATCATTCTAAGTTTACATTGAAATCAACCCAATAGTTTGGTATCTAAATGCTGAATTTAATATATACTATTTTGACCCAATAATTTTAAAAACTGTTTTGCACATGTGCAGGAAGGAGGTTAGCAGCCATATTTAATCATCCACAAATCTTCTCAGATACATGTATGATACAAAACATGGCAGATGACTTTGCATTTGGTTTCCTTGCCTTCAATGACAATTTTCAATTTTCTGAAGCATGCTCCTTCTGTGCTGGTTTTAATTTGGATGTTCTGGACTTTTGTGCATATGGAGTAGATTTTTTGTGCTTTTTTAAATTTGATGAATTTTTCATATGTGAATTTTTTTGTGAGCAGAATGGCTTTGATATCAAAAAGTATGTACTTCAAGCTTAAACATTTAAGATGCATACAAAAATTGATCGAATATCCTTGCTTATTTACTAGTAAGTACCAATGTTATTTCTGAAACTCGCGCCTGATCAGAAGGTTAATTGGTTTCAAAAGGTATTTAAGGAATTCAAATGCTGTTTGATAAGGTCTCAAAGATGCACATTTTGGGGAAATTTGTCCCAACTAGAATTAATTGGATCACTGGCCTCAGTTTGGAATTCTGTAACTATGCATTGTCAAAGTCAACATGGTCATATCTTGTACAGTGTGTGGTCTGGGGCCATGAGATGATCAAGTGATTCATCTTTAAGAAAAACGTGTGTTGTAAACCAAGTATTTCATAATGGTCTTATTGAGGAATTTCTATGCATATTCAAACAATGTTCATCATTTTGAATTCTGTGAGACTCAATTAATAAAGGTAGTCATCTGACATGTGTAGACTAAAAAAAAACAAAAAACTAAAGGACTTCCATCAATGCTTCCAAGAAAATTTGATTTTTCAGTTTTCACTGCATCTCTCTTTGCAATATATGATAATAGTTGACATCTCTTGCAATCCTGCAATTATAGTTTAGGAACAGATGTAGATATAAACACTTTTATGGTTTTTAGCTCACCTGAGCCAGAGGTGTAAATATGCACATTTTTTTGATGATTTATTGGCACAAATTACTGGCAATATGTAGGTATATTTATAACTGGCAGTCTTATCAATTGCTTTGCCATATTTTCATGTCTTGGGTCCAGAACTTTCAGTCAATAGTGAGATGGAAAATAACTGGAAAGGATTTGTACATTTTGATATCATACTGGAAACACCACACTACTCCCTTTTTTGCTAATTCAAGGCTGTTTGCTGAAAATGAAAGTAGACGTTTAATTAAATTTATGATCATTACTATGTAATTGATTTCTAAGTATAATTTAGGGACATCACCTTTTATTAAGTGTATTCCTAGAGAAGAAAGTATGAACTCTGGTACAGGCATTTCAGAGTTTATTTGCAAAATTTATTAATTTTTGAATAAGGATAGACAATGCATAATAAAAAGTGAAAATTTTTTTAGAAGTTTTATTTAATTCACAGAACTTCCCGGACCTTTACCAAAGGATGGTGATCTAGATGATGAACTGGCAGGGAAGGAAGATCAATCAAGTTCCGCAGCAGACCAGCCCTCTAGTTCCACAGCAGACCAGCCCTCAAGTTCCACAGCAGACCAGCCATCTTGTTCAGATCATGAACAGTCTTCAAATTCGGATAGTGAACAGCCACAGTATATTAGATTTAAAGGTAAGCAAGTCTTTGTTTTGAGAATTTGCAATAGTAAACCACTTTACTTGGCACCTTGGCTTTTGTATTTTACCTTGATTATTGATCTCGTAACCCTTGACTTTGAGCTTTGACCTATTTGTCAAAATATATCATAGTGCCGATATACAACATATTTTTGACATTTCAGAGGTAAGACTACGCTATTTAGCATGTACACTGTTTGTAATAATAAATTATAAAAAAAAAATACAAGCACTACAATTCACTTGACCTTTAACTTACTTTGCAAAAATATTCCATGTAGTTTCATTCAACTTGTGACCTTCTTAGTTCACCTGAGCCGAAGGCTCAAGTGAGCTTTTCTGATTACATTTTGTCCGGCGTCCGTCTGTCTGTCTGTAAACTTTTCACATTTTCGACTTCTTCTCCAAAACCGCGTGGCCAATTTCAACCAAACTTGCCACAGAGCATCCTTGGGTGAAGGGGATTTAAAAGTTTGTTCAAATGAAGGGCCACGCCCTCATTCAAGGGGAGATAATTAGGAATTAAGGAAAATTTAGTGGGATGTTTTAAAGATCTTCTTCTCAAGAACCACTGTGCCAGGAAAGATGAAACTTATGGGGAAACATCCTCAGGTAGTGTAGATTCAAGTTTGTTCAAATCATGATCCCAGGGGGTAGGGCGGGGCCAATATGGCCGACAAAAGTTTTACATAGAAATACATAGGAAAATTCTTTAAAAATCTTCTTCTCAAGAATGACAAAGCCAAAATTCATCATATCTATATGGAAGCATCCTCAGGTAGTGTAGATTCAAGATTGTTTAAATTATGACCCCCGGGGGTAGGGCGGGGCCAAAATAGCAGACCAAAGTTTTACATAGAAATAAATAGGAAAATTCTTTTAAAATCTTCTTCTTAAGAATGACAAAGCCAAAATTCATCATATTTATATGGAAGCATCCTCAGGTAGTGTAGATTCAAATTTGTTCAAATCATGACCCCAGGGGGTAGGCGGGACCACAATGGCCAACTAAAGTTTAACATCGAAATATATAGGAAAATTCTTCAAAAATCTTCTTCTAAAGAATAGCAAAGCCATGATTGGTCATGGGACTATACTTTTGGATTTAAACTTTTCAATAATAAACTAATTTCTGCTTTTTCCTAGCCACAGTACTCAAGTGAGTGATATGGCCCATGGGCCTCTTCTTTTATTTTGAGAGGCGGGATTTTAATAATTAGAATTCATACATGATTATGAGCTCATGATAATGTGATCTGAAACTGTATGAGAATCGTTTACCTTACAAACTTATATATAAACACTATAAAAAATATATCGGGATCTGTATTTCACAATTGATGGTATAGACGCACTCGGACGATTCGTACCTCATCTAATCATTTGATGAAGTCAAAGAATTCAGCCAAGGTTTACCGAATGGGTGTAGATGGAATATATATAATACAGACACACTGAAATATTTTCAGAGGATCATTTGTTGGAAAAACATATTAAAAAGTTGATAATTACATGTAGTGATTTTCTAATATTTTCAATTCAATTTTTTGTTTGAGAGTTAGGGAACCATGTTTTGTTTGATTGACAGATTCTATTGCAGTCTTATAAATGTCTAGTTCTGTTATGTTCTCTACTATCCACAGACTGATGCCATTTTTTGTTTGCGGAAATGATTTTATAATAAATAAGAAGCTGCCCATGCATGCTTAGATTTATATACATCTTTAATGAAGCTACAAAACAGCCAACACATGCATTCCTTAGAACACTCTAGTCTCCCTAATAAATAAAGATAGCATAGAAGATCAAAATTAAACATTCAATAAAAGTTCATTAAAATCTATATAAAAGGTTTACATTACTTTATTTTATACACATTCATCTTTGGCTTGTCATGTGCCATGGTGATGCACATAAGTCTTTTGTATTCTAAACCAAAATAGTTGCAAGCTTTACCCAGATAATATTCACTATGCATTTACGGTTACATTCTTTTTGATTTAAGGTTGTAAAAGAAGATGGACAGATGAAGAGGAAGAAGAACTGTTGGAAGCATTTGGGATACAGATTAAGAAAAAAAATGAATGTGTCCACCAAAGCAATCCGATATGCACAGTCAAAATTTAAAGCATTACGCAGCCGGTCAGAAGCAGTAATAAGATCTAAAATAAACAATATCATTTTAGGAAAAGTAAAAAAAAGAAAAGACTGCTACAAATGAAGACTTCCTTATGTTTCAGAATAACTTAGTGAGGTTAGGTTTCCTGATAGACATTTGTCCACTGTCTTGTTGACATTTAATCCAACCAAAAGCAGTTAGCATCAGATTTTCATTCAACCACTTAAATTTCTCATGACCAAATAATTTCCCATGTAAATTGTGTTTCAAATTTGTCATGCCTTAAGAATGATAAACTAAGGAGAAAACAGCTTATTCCTAAAAAAAAAATATGTTCTTTCCTGTAACCTGACCAACCCAAGCAAAAAAAATGAACTACTGACCCTTGATTTTTTGGGAATGTTACAGGAAACAAACATATTTTTTTAGCCTTACTTGTATATTATCCCTGGGCACATGAGATTAAATTTTGTTGGCTTTGATTTTTGTTCATTCAACTGTTAAAAAAACTTAAAATATTGCTTTTTTATATCATGTGACTTTAAAATTTTGTGAAATACATCAGCACCATTTTTAAAAATGTGAGGATCTTGTTACCGGGTACTTTTATGCAAGAGGACTGAAAATTAAATAGCTCATTAACACATCAACATGATTGGTTGAATAGTCTTTTTATCCTTGTACAATTTTACTTATATAAACATGTTCACATACTTTTTGTCAGGCTCCATAATAATTTTTTACAAAAGATAAGGGTGAATCAGAGAGATGAAAACGGTTTTAAAAAGCCATTAAACTTATTAATATGACGAAAGACTTGTTATTTTGTAAGATATGATTTATGTACAAGAATGATTTTTTTCTACATTGTGAAATACACATTGAATTGTTTTTCTCCCAATGTGGGTTATTGCATGTCTGTAAATCTTTGTTCAGTTGTTAAAGATATGCATGTTACTGGAATGCGAAGATCCAATTAATGTGTCCAAATATACGAGGTTTATGCAGCATTGTTTCAGATGCATCACATTTTTTTGCAGTCTAAACTGATTATGATACATGTTATTGAAATTATTTGACGGGCGCTTTATTTTTGAAGTTTTGGCATATAATTGTGTGTAAAACCAGAACAAAAAATTGTCTATAATTTGAAATTGCCCCCGTTCAACTACAATCAAGGCAAGATAACTAAATTTCATTCCGGTATTCCTTTGCATGTTGCACACAGATATTTATATTTAAAAAAAATTGTGGACCTTTCTTTGTGATTTATTATACCCCCGCAAACGAATTATACCCCCGCAAACAAAGTTTAGGGGGATGTATTGGAATCAGCTTGTCCGTCTGTCTGTAGACAAGGTTTTGTCTGGACCGTTTCTCAAAAAAATTTTGATGGATTTGTCTGAAAATTTGTACATATATCATTCATCATATGAAGGTGTGCACCTGGTATTTTCATCACGATTGGAAGATTTTTCTGCATTTTACAGGAATTTTTTCTTTTTTATTTTGTTGTTTTGTTTGGCTCATATCTAGAAAACTATTAGACTTACAATCATCAAACTTGGCCAATTTATGCATCTTGGGTAGAAGGTGTGTCATGACCTATTTTGAGGTCACCGTGACCTTTAATTAAAGTGAAATAAAAAAAAACCAACTGTGTTTTACTACCGAATTACACAATCCGAAAAAATGTTGCGGTATCCCTATTTAAAACGTTAAACTGAGAAAATATTTTTTTTTTATTATATACTTTACAACAATCCTTAACAAATGTTATATTTTATAAGAGAAAATCTACCTCTCCCAAGGGTGTAATTATCAAGCACTGGTCAAAGAGAATTTTGATAACAGAAAAATGCATGTCAAATTAGAGAGAAATTAATTAGTTTATTGTAGGAAGCTAACTGGTAGAGATCTGATCAAGCAGTTGTTATCTGTCTCTTGGGAACTGGGCTAAGGAATCAGCCCTAAATAGTTTTAGTGACTAGCCTAACTTATATAATGAATTTGAGAAAAAAACAAGTTAAATTTAATTTGAAATTGTATAATAAACTAATTTGAAATTGTATAATATAATTAAAATTAATTATATTGTATGTGTATGTGTGGTGTGTGGGGGGGGGGGGGTATTGGAATCAGCATGCTCATTCTCCAGATGAAATTCAGATTGAAACTTTTAGTCTGATATCAAATGCAATTATGCATTTTGATTGCACTACAAAGGAGAAACTTTAGATCCATTCATTCCTTGATAGTAATTAGTGGACATGCATCCAGTCAAAGATTAATTAATGAGTTCTATGTAAGGAAGCTAGCTGTCTCATTCATTTCAGTGTTAGAGCATGTCTCTGATCTAGCAGCTCTTATCTGAATCCTTTGGGAATTAGACAGAAGTGATGGTCAGCTTAAATAGCATTTGTCATTTGATGGCCAGTCTCCTATTTCTAAAATCAATTTGGTTTAGATTAAGTTTTTAAGACTTATTAGTTAAATTGATATATATTTTATTTTATTTTATTTTTTTTTTAAATATCAAGTGACCAATTTCATATTGAAAGATATGTGCGTATGTATATGTTGCATTTGTCAAGCTACAATCATGATAATGCAACCAGTTGATGATTATTTGTTATTATTAATGCTCAAACCCCGAGAGATGTTTAAACCATTATTATCAGAAATGGAAAAATTATGGAAATCCCTTTTAAAAGTTGACAGGATTTTCTTGCACTCTTAACTGTTTATAATAATTGAATGAACAATATTTCAATGTAGTATCATGCTAAGGAGGTACACATTATTATTTTTAAAATGAATTTGATATAAATTTGTATAGATTAATTTGATTTTGATTTTGTATAATGTTTTTTTTTCAACAATCAATTTGCTGAGTATCATGACAAATAGTTGCAAATAATTTTTTCAATGAAATAAAAAAAAACTGATTCATTGATAAAAAAAAATATAATGAGCAATTATATTTTCATTCAAATTGATTCTAAGAAATTAGTGAACACCTCTTAATAGATCCATAACTATTTGTGAATTTGCACCTAGCTACTCTAAAAAACCCAGCGGGGGTATTCATCCCTATTTGGACAGTTTTTAGTTGAGATTGGGCCTCGTTAATTAACATAAACTGAGAGGTGAAGGGTAAAGAATATCTTTTTATACATGTATTCCTGTTATTAATGTCCTTATATTATATGAAATACACATGTATTAGAGGAACGGTTAGATTTATACACTTGAAATGTTGATTTTTTTTTAATATGTGAAGTTTTCTGCTAGAACATATTACATGTGTAGTAATAGTTTTATGCACCAAGTAGTAATAAATGAAATTATCATTCATGTTTTTATTTTCGATTAAGCCGATAGGCAGGTAATGCTTTTTTATGCGCCCGGATTGGGGCGTATTGTTTTTGTCCTGTCTGTTTGTCTGTCTGTCTGTTGTCAACTTTAACCTTCACCATTACTCTTGAACCATAAGAGATAGAGACTTCATATTATGTGTGACTACTTCCATAAACAAGCTATTTCAAATGACACCAAGGTCATTGACCTTGTGATATTGACTGTGGCCTATATGCTAAAATAGCGTTTTTGAACTTTGTTGCCGCCGGACGCTTAGAGCTTCACAAACACATCTTGTTTCCTTTACAAAACTGTTTGTGTCACATGCCAGCAGTGCACATGGGATACTAAGAGACACAAGTGACAAGAAATAAATCCTTTCAGAATTGTTTGACTGTACACTTTGGGAATAATATTTATCTCTTAACAGATCTGGCAATGGTACTAAATAGATCGTGTGGCCGACTATGGTTTCTATTGCGCAATATTTCGTACATCACAGTAAAATGAAACGTATTAACTGTTTTAAAGCAACTTTTTCGCATAATTTTCAAAATTAAACAAGATAATGAAATTAGGGTAAAAAAATGTCATTATAATTTTTTAAAACTGATTTTTTGACCGATATTGTAATTGATAGGTTCCTTGACGTCGTTACAGTGTGTTTTTGTCGTTATGATAAACTGAAGCTCTAAAAGAGAGGGGTGAATAAAGTTTTATTAAAGAAAAAGTAATTAACGTACAATCTTGAAATTTAAAACATAGAAATTTGAGAATATTTCCATTATATTTACTATGATTTCATATAAATCCTTTGTGCCTTTCATATTTTGTAGTACTCTATAAAAACAGGAAAATTCGTTTTTTTTTTGTTTTTGGTTTTTTTTTGGGGGGGGGGGGGGGCATTTTGAAATGCCCCCTCTGGTAACAAGACGGCAGAATGTTGTGTTTCTTACATATATTGCATAATAGTTACTTATCAAATATTATAGTTTGAATAAAAAGGCTATTGTAGTATTTGTATAATTTGCTTTGAAGTGCTAAAATTGGTATTTTCCTAAATAATCCTATAGTAAATGCACATGTATTTTGAATATAACTGGACGGTAGATTTCCCCCAAACTTGGCAGGAACACTGAAGTTAATGTAAGTTATATCTTATTATGGTATAAAAATGAAGAGTTTCGCTATTGTAGTCTTCACACAATAAAACCATAGTCGGCCCCCTTAATTGTAAACATTTAAATGATTTCTCTTCCCCCCCCCCCCCCCCAAGATAGACTTAGAATAGACATTGGACATAGCTGCCTAGGTTTAGCTCCACCTTCCACATACATGTTGCAGTATAGGCTTAATATGGGGAAAGTGGTGGTGTTTGGAAAAAAAAATTGTTTATCAGTCAAGACTGCAAAATTTTCAATCTTACTGTATTGACAAATGTTCAATTGCTTTGTTATTCTCGCAGACATGACAATATTATCGAATGTCTATCTACTTGAAATAGAAACTTTAAAAAAGTACAAAACATTTTGAATCCTTGTTTTATTTCGGTCATCATCCTCACACACCAACGTTTTATGTTTTTAAAAACTATTTTCATCTCTTTTTCTGAGTGGAAATACAAATCCATGATTTATCACTGTGTTCAATTTACTTAAAATCTTTACTTATAGTGTCTATAGCCGAGGTCCCAAAAATTTAAGACGTATCCTAAAAATTTAATATTGCATTTACATATATGCTGTGTTGAGAGAGATATTGGTATGTGATCAGTAAAACTGCCCCCCCCCCTTTCGACGAAAACCTAAAATTCTTATACCAATTTTAGGTATAGATAATTATTTAATGCATAATATGTTAAGAAGGATGTTTCAACATCGAAAGTCAACATTAAAATAGTTCTTCATATATGTTTAAGAAAGTTAATATTAAAAAAAATGTACTAAAGTCACCTCTACCATGGGTGGATATGTGGGATTTGTGATTAAGGGGAGGGCTTGGATAACTTCGTTTGGTCAGGGGGTCTGGGAGCCACCATAAGATCCCAAGTGGGTCCAGGGTGGACCGCTGATGGGGGCCCTGGGGACGAAGCTCCTGGTTTTCGTGTACTTTAGGAGTAAAACCAAGCATAATAATATTGGTACTGGTTAGTTATGTACCAAAGTATGGCATTATTAACATTATTCACATCATACTTTGACAATTTTAGGGGGAGGGGTGTCCCGGCCCACGCCTCCCTTAAATTCGCCAGTGTCTACCGGTCGCTCAAGTTTTTCAAAGATTGACAAAGCACGCTTCTGTAGTTACGGTCTTACATGTAAGTTTTAGACTGTACTAAAGTCCTACCTAACCACGGTCTTAGACTTAAAACCTTTATACGGTACGACTCCAGTAAATTTAGTTGAAATTCTCTGAATTCTAAAATTTTAATGTAACACTAGTATTAAAACTTAGATCATTTCTAATTAGGCCCAATAGCTGATCTCGGAATATTCATGTATATATATATATATATAAATTTTTCAATAATAGGGTCCAAGACCCAATTCAATGGTTTAAAAGCAATAGGTATATATAGCGTTGTTAAATAATTTAGTCTCTTTTTTATGCTATATATAGCTTCACGATGTGAATTTGAACATAATCAATGTTATACCGTCCCTGCAAGACAACAGATAGCATTTGGCCCAATAATTCATAAATACAGAGCAGACCCGATAACTAAGCAAGTTTGAGTATATATATATATATATATATATATATATATATATATATATATATATATATATATATATATATATATATATATATATATATATATATATATATATATATATATTTATTTATTTATTTATTATATACCTAATGTGTATCACCCAATTTTACTGTTGAATTTACGCTATCACGTGACGTCGTGATCCGATTTTCCGGATCACCAACATGTTGTTTTCTGAATCCATATCACCACTCTCTGAAACTGATGACGTAGTACACAGAAACATGACCTAATTTTTCTTGGGCATTAAAAAGTTCCTTGTTATTATGTTCCCCAAACGAAGTTGGGGAACATATTGTTTTTACTCTGTTTCTTATTAGGGTCTTCCGTCTTCAGCGGAAGACCCTTCTATTATTCTTTTGTTTCTTTTTCAATTTTCTTATTATTATTATTATTAGGGTCTTCCGTCTCAGCGGAAGACCCTTCTATTATTCTATTGTTTCTTTTTCACTTTTATTATTCTTCCCTTTTTTTCTTACAATTTTTGTGCAGAAGATTTCTCGGAGATGACTCGATCGATTTACTTGAAATTTTCAGGAAAGATGTGTCTTCACCTAAACCTGATTCGTTTTTCTCATTTTTTTGAAATTCACTTCCGGTCGGAAGTTATCGCCCTTTAATCGAAATTTAGAGGGCTTTCTTGTCTGGAGCAGAACTCAAAAACGGTTTTAAGCTAGAGCGCTGAAATTTTTACCATAGATAGAGGACATGTTGCCATTGTGCACCTGGGTCAGGATATTTTCCGGAAGTGCCCAGTATGGAAGCTCGGTAGGGGTCGAAATCTAGGACACGAATTATGAGTGAATTTTCGAGATATTTTATATCATATCTTTTAAAGTATAAATATTTTGTTAAAACATACTGAGCG